TGTGGCCAAGTATGGTGACCTATGGTGAATTAGTGCTCTGCATTTACCCATCCAAAGTGCACACACACAGCAGTGAACACACACACACCGTGAACACACACCCGGAGCAGTGGGCAGCCATTTATTTGCTGCAGCACCCGGGGAGCAGTTGGGGGTTCGGTGCTTTGCTCAAGGGCACCTCAGTCGTGGTATTGAAGGTGGGAGAGAGTGCTGTACATTCACTCCCCCCACCCACAATCCCTGCTGGTACGAGACTCGAACCCGCAACCTTTGGGTTACGAGTCCGACTCTCTAACCATTAGGCCACGACTTCCCCCACGATTGCTCCAATTGTTGTCGACATGAATTGAAATTGACAAAGTAAACCAAAATGCCATTAGAATCAGCATATGAAGCAAGTTTAAACAATAAAAAGTGAGAAAAAAGTGAAAAGTTTAAACAATACCGCCAGAGATTAAGTTTAACGTGCTAAACTTAAAGGAATAGTTCACCCAAACATGAAAAACTTGCTGAAAAATTTACTCATCCTCAGACCATTCCAGATGTAGATGAGTTTGTTTCTTTATCAGAAGAGATTTGGAGAAATGTAGCATTACATCACTTGCTCATCAATGGATCATCTGCAGTAAATGGGTGCCGTCAGAATGAGAGTCCAAACAGCTTAGGTGAACTATTCCTTTAAAGACCGTGTTTGTATGCTATGTCACCGTACATTTAAACTACTATATATTTATTTGTAGTATTTTTAGACAATGTATAGTAGTCAGTTATATGGCAAAATGTGACCCTGGACCACAAAACCAGTCATAAGGGTACATTTTTCGAAATTGAGATTTATACATCACCTGAAATCTGAATAAATAAGCTTTCCATTGATGTATGGTTTGTTAGGACAGGACAATATTTGGCCGAGATACAACTATTTGAAAATCTGGAATCTGAGGGTGCAAAAAAATCCAAATATTGAGAAAATCGCCTTTAAAGTTGTCCAAATTAAGTTCTTAGCAATGCATGATATTACTAATACAAAATTAAGTTTTAATATATTCACAGTAGGCAATTTACAAAATATCTTCATGGAACATGATCTTTACTAAATATACCCCAGTGACTTAAGACTGGTTTTGTGCTCCAGGGTCACATATGTCTTGAAATTGGAAAACAAGACATGTAGAGAAACTGTAGTATATTATGAAGTAATCATGAAATGATTTTACATTATTTAGCCCTATGAAAAAGGCTAAAGTAAAATATTTCTCCATGAGAAATACTCATATCAAGAGAAAACTCATCTTTAACACATAATTTCTTTAAAAGTGAGTTAAAAGGCAACTGGCTTATAGCCACAGATCTGCGCTAGTTTGGAGCTCCTGCAAAAAATAGATTGACTTCTGTATATTTGGTCAACAACGCCACCTTGTGGGTGACTGAAAATGTTAAAGTTTTATCCAAGTAACTAGATAAAAAATAAAAATGTTGCGCTACAAACCAGTGCGTTTAGGAATAAAATAATAAATTGAAATAATATGATACGAAATACCAGTCTGCAGTATACGGGCTGTTTTTGTACAAATAAAATTAAAAGTAAGCGGATGACACGGACGTCTCGCGCATTCAATTTACAAATACGTTAAACTTAAAAAGGTGGATCTCTATTAAGCTATTAAAATTGAACACACTTGCTAAAATACGCATTTCATGTAAACCTTAATTCTTGTTTTTATATTTAAGAGCGAAACTTATCACTGATCTCCTCCGTCCTCAGTGTCTCACGAAAAAAAGTTACACCAATTTAAAGTCTAATAAAGAAATTGTACACGAGTATAGTAGAAAATTCTTTATTTACCATTTATTGAGGTGTACCAACATGTAACAAAACACTTAAAACACTGAATAGTCACGAACACGGTTAAAGGCAAGAAGTCTAACCGTTTTACCTACATGCAGACACTTATGTACACAGGGCCATGAACTGGAAATGAACGGATAATAAAAGTAATAATACATCTAAACATAGTTTCTACGGTCGATTCTGCTCACATATTGGCAAAGAAAACGTTTTTCTACAATCCTGTCCTACAGCACAATGGACAACACTGCACTGTGTTTTTATATAGCTCATCAATGGATCATCTGCAGTAAATGGGTGCCGTCAGAATGAGAGTCCAAACAGCTTAGGTGAACTATTCCTTTAAAGACCGTGTTTGTATGCTATGTCACCGTACATTTAAACTACTATATATTTATTTGTAGTATTTTTAGACAATGTATAGTAGTCAGTTATATGGCAAAATGTGACCCTGGACCACAAAACCAGTCATAAGGGTACATTTTTCGAAATTGAGATTTATACATCACCTGAAATCTGAATAAATAAGCTTTCCATTGATGTATGGTTTGTTAGGACAGGACAATATTTGGCCGAGATACAACTATTTGAAAATCTGGAATCTGAGGGTGCAAAAAAATCCAAATATTGAGAAAATCGCCTTTAAAGTTGTCCAAATTAAGTTCTTAGCAATGCATGATATTACTAATACAAAATTAAGTTTTAATATATTCACAGTAGGCAATTTACAAAATATCTTCATGGAACATGATCTTTACTAAATATACCCCAGTGACTTAAGACTGGTTTTGTGCTCCAGGGTCACATATGTCTTGAAATTGGAAAACAAGACATGTAGAGAAACTGTAGTATATTATGAAGTAATCATGAAATGATTTTACATTATTTAGCCCTATGAAAAAGGCTAAAGTAAAATATTTCTCCATGAGAAATACTCATATCAAGAGAAAACTCATCTTTAACACATAATTTCTTTAAAAGTGAGTTAAAAGGCAACTGGCTTATAGCCACAGATCTGCGCTAGTTTGGAGCTCCTGCAAAAAATAGATTGACTTCTGTATATTTGGTCAACAACGCCACCTTGTGGGTGACTGAAAATGTTAAAGTTTTATCCAAGTAACTAGATAAAAAATAAAAATGTTGCGCTACAAACCAGTGCGTTTAGGAATAAAATAATAAATTGAAATAATATGATACGAAATACCAGTCTGCAGTATACGGGCTGTTTTTGTACAAATAAAATTAAAAGTAAGCGGATGACACGGACGTCTCGCGCATTCAATTTACAAATACGTTAAACTTAAAAAGGTGGATCTCTATTAAGCTATTAAAATTGAACACACTTGCTAAAATACGCATTTCATGTAAACCTTAATTCTTGTTTTTATATTTAAGAGCGAAACTTATCACTGATCTCCTCCGTCCTCAGTGTCTCACGAAAAAAAGTTACACCAATTTAAAGTCTAATAAAGAAATTGTACACGAGTATAGTAGAAAATTCTTTATTTACCATTTATTGAGGTGTACCAACATGTAACAAAACACTTAAAACACTGAATAGTCACGAACACGGTTAAAGGCAAGAAGTCTAACCGTTTTACCTACATGCAGACACTTATGTACACAGGGCCATGAACTGGAAATGAACGGATAATAAAAGTAATAATACATCTAAACATAGTTTCTACGGTCGATTCTGCTCACATATTGGCAAAGAAAACGTTTTTCTACAATCCTGTCCTACAGCACAATGGACAACACTGCACTGTGTTTTTATATAAAAACCATAAATATAAAGACTATGGGGGAAAAAAGCAAAGCATCAAAATGAAAATCAAAACAAAATATCTAGGCCAAGACGCTTCGGTTATTCTTTAAAGTATTCATTAAAACATTCGGCAGTTATTGCAAAAGCTTTTTGGACATTTAAATAATAAACCTACAACCTCTGTAATTTGACCTCAATCTAAAGAAAAGCTTACACATTTTAAATGGTAACATATGGCTGAGATACTGAGGTCAAACACTGACTGAGGTCAAAAAAAATCTCAAGCAGTGCTGAGGCACATATATAACTCTGACCGACCATCAGTGAGGACTAGTTGGCCTGGTTCTTCTTCCTCAAAACATTGAGAAGGTTCTCAGACATCAGATAGGCTCGTTTTGGGCTGCCGTCGTTCCTCTCCAGGTCCTCCACTGTGATAAATGAATGTGAGAAGAGATGTTGAGGAACAAACAACCCATGGTTTACCTTTAGCTAGCACACTAGAGGAAAGGAAAGTGACATGCCTGTGTTCAACAAACGCCTCACACACAATATAGTCAGACCTAAATAACAAATGCACCTTCTTGCATGATATTTATTAAAGACTAAAAAAATAAATAAAAAAAGAACTGACATGTGAAGTAGCAAAGCACCTAAAAGACAGTGGAAAAGACAGCAGACAAAGTTAAAGGCTTCCCAAGAAGGCAACAAGGTGCTTTTCAAAAGTACGTAGGTTGCAAACTGCTACCAAAAACAAACCTTAAAGTGCATTAAAAAGTAATGGCTTGCAATCTGGAGGAAATGCAGCAATAACATCAGCTGCATGACACTTAAATTAAGAGCAACATTAGATATTTGTCCATCATAGAATGAAACGGCAGCAAAACACAGTACACTCAAAAAGGGCAAAATGCATTGATCATCTGACAGCAAAGACAACTAAAACACTGAATCCAAAACATTTGATGTAAAATAGCCAACTGATGTATAAATAAAACATCTATAAATCAATAAAATGTCTGGTAACAAGTCTGAAAGTTGTTGCTGCTGAGCAGATGAACATGCAAAGCAGAAGGCACTCACTTAAACATGAACATGAACTCAACACTGACCTTATTTGCCTGCTTTCTTAATACACTGTGCAATTGTAACTTTCATAAAGACTTTATCATCCAAGTTCTTTTATTGTTTTAATAGTAACACTTTACTATGGAAGCCCGTTTCCGCCACTGAATAAAAAATAAAACAAGGTAATTGCGACTTTTTAATCTCACAATTCTGACTTTCTCAGAACTACGAGTTCATATCTTGCAATTCTGACTTTAAAACACGCAATTGTGAGTTATAGTCAAAATTGCGAGTTATAAAATCAAAATTGAACACTGAATAGTCACGAACACGGTTAAAGGCAAGAAGTCTAACCGTTTTACCTACATGCAGACACTTATGTACACAGGGCCATGAACTGGAAATGAACGGATAATAAAAGTAATAATACATCTAAACATAGTTTCTACGGTCGATTCTGCTCACATATTGGCAAAGAAAACGTTTTTCTACAATCCTGTCCTACAGCACAATGGACAACACTGCACTGTGTTTTTATATAAAAACCATAAATATAAAGACTATGGGGGAAAAAAGCAAAGCATCAAAATGAAAATCAAAACAAAATATCTAGGCCAAGACGCTTCGGTTATTCTTTAAAGTATTCATTAAAACATTCGGCAGTTATTGCAAAAGCTTTTTGGACATTTAAATAATAAACCTACAACCTCTGTAATTTGACCTCAATCTAAAGAAAAGCTTACACATTTTAAATGGTAACATATGGCTGAGATACTGAGGTCAAACACTGACTGAGGTCAAAAAAAATCTCAAGCAGTGCTGAGGCACATATATAACTCTGACCGACCATCAGTGAGGACTAGTTGGCCTGGTTCTTCTTCCTCAAAACATTGAGAAGGTTCTCAGACATCAGATAGGCTCGTTTTGGGCTGCCGTCGTTCCTCTCCAGGTCCTCCACTGTGATAAATGAATGTGAGAAGAGATGTTGAGGAACAAACAACCCATGGTTTACCTTTAGCTAGCACACTAGAGGAAAGGAAAGTGACATGCCTGTGTTCAACAAACGCCTCACACACAATATAGTCAGACCTAAATAACAAATGCACCTTCTTGCATGATATTTATTAAAGACTAAAAAAATAAATAAAAAAAGAACTGACATGTGAAGTAGCAAAGCACCTAAAAGACAGTGGAAAAGACAGCAGACAAAGTTAAAGGCTTCCCAAGAAGGCAACAAGGTGCTTTTCAAAAGTACGTAGGTTGCAAACTGCTACCAAAAACAAACCTTAAAGTGCATTAAAAAGTAATGGCTTGCAATCTGGAGGAAATGCAGCAATAACATCAGCTGCATGACACTTAAATTAAGAGCAACATTAGATATTTGTCCATCATAGAATGAAACGGCAGCAAAACACAGTACACTCAAAAAGGGCAAAATGCATTGATCATCTGACAGCAAAGACAACTAAAACACTGAATCCAAAACATTTGATGTAAAATAGCCAACTGATGTATAAATAAAACATCTATAAATCAATAAAATGTCTGGTAACAAGTCTGAAAGTTGTTGCTGCTGAGCAGATGAACATGCAAAGCAGAAGGCACTCACTTAAACATGAACATGAACTCAACACTGACCTTATTTGCCTGCTTTCTTAATACACTGTGCAATTGTAACTTTCATAAAGACTTTATCATCCAAGTTCTTTTATTGTTTTAATAGTAACACTTTACTATGGAAGCCCGTTTCCGCCACTGAATAAAAAATAAAACAAGGTAATTGCGACTTTTTAATCTCACAATTCTGACTTTCTCAGAACTACGAGTTCATATCTTGCAATTCTGACTTTAAAACACGCAATTGTGAGTTATAGTCAAAATTGCGAGTTATAAAATCAAAATTGCGAGTTATAAAATCAAAATTGTGAGTTATAAAATCAAAATTGCGAGTTATAAAATCAAAATTGTGAGTTATAAAGTCAAAATTGCGAGACAAAGTCGCGATTCTGAGTTTTTTTCTCGCAATTGCGAGTTTATATCTCACAATATCTCAAACTGCGAGTTATAAAGTCAAAATTGCGAGTTATAAAGTCAAAATTACGAGTTATAAAATCAAAATTGCGAGTTATAAAATCAAAATTGTGAGTTATAAAATCAAAATTGTGAGTTATAAAATCAAAATTGCGAGTTATAAAATCAAAATTGTGAGTTATAAAATCAAAATTGCGAGTTATAAAATCAAAATTGTGAGTTATAAAATCAAAATTGCGAGTTATAAAATCAAAATTGTGAGTTATAAAATCAAAATTGCGAGTTATAAAATCAAAATTGTGAGTTATAAAGTCAAAATTGCGAGACAGTCGCGATTCTGAGTTTTTTTCTCGCAATTGCGAGTTTATATCTCACAATATCTCAAATTGCGAGTTATAAAGTCAAAATTGTGAGTTATAAAGTCACAGTTGTGAGTTATAAAGTCAGAATTGTGAGTTATAAAGTCAGAATTGTGAGTTATAAAGTCAAAATTGTGAGATATAAAGTCGCAATTCTGAGTTTTTTTCTCAAAATTGCGAGTTTATATCACGCAATTCTGACTTTATAACTTGCAATTGCGAGAAAAAAAAAAAAGAAAAGAGCCAGAATTGCTGAGTTTTTTTTAATTGAGTTTATATCACATAATTCTGAGAAAAAAAAAGTCAGAATTGTGAGATAAAAAGTCGCAATTACCTTGTTTTATTTTTTATTTAGTGGCGGAAACGGGCTTTCATACTTTACAATAAGGTCCCATAAGTTAATAAATTAACTAACGTAAACTAACAATGAGTTACATTTGTTGGAGAATTTCTTAATCTTTGTTAACATTAGTTAACAAAAATACAACTGTTCATTGTTAGCTCATGTTTAATTAATATTCACATATTAAACTTGATTTTAATAATCAGTATTAGTTACTGTTTAAAGTAAAATTATTAAGATTAAGAAATGCTTTAGAAGCAATTTTCATTGCTGGTTAATGTGATCCAAGTAGTTAAGTAAGTTAACAATAGGAACCTTATCGTAAAGTGTAACCTTTTTATGATTTAATATCCTGTTTCACTTGGATAAACGTCACATTATTGAAGAAAATAGCTTGTGAATACATTTTCATGTTATTCTCAAGATCATTTTCCCTGACTGTCTATTTATTCCCTTAACACACAATTATTGAATGATTGACAACTCAATGAACTGCAGGTATGATTGAACCTTGTGACCATTCAGTAAATAAGATTTTTTTCCCACATATAATTACAAATTTCCATCAGTTTTCCATTGTTTTGTCGGGAGCCGTCAGCTGCATAGTCTCGTCACGTGAAGTAGGGGTCCGAGCCGCATCCGCGTCCTTCATCAGGATGTCGCGCAGCTCTGTGGTCATGTGATACGGCCGCGCTGCAGAGCCGTCACTGCGCTCAAGGTCTTCACCTTTGTGTGGTGTTAGTGATGTTTAGTAATGTAAAGACTAAGCAAAGAATTGTGTAGTAAATGTGATAAATGTGAAATTGGGTTTGTAAGGAACAGATGTTAAAATATGAAGGTGTTGAATAGAAAACCCAAGGAGGAACGATGGGGGGGGGGGGGGGAACAGATGTTGAATATGAAGGTGTTGAATAGAAAACCCAAGAGATAGGGGAGGGGAGAGGGAACAGCCATAAAAGAAGAAAGAGAAAAAGAAAGAATCAGGTTATTATGAGATGAAAGACAGAAAAGCATATCAGTCCCATTGAAATGCCACACCTTAGTTAAGCAGGTACCATAGACAGATTAGAAACACCTCATACCAGAATACATAACTGGAACGCAGATTAAATCCTCAGTCTAAGGTGCCTTGAGAGGTTTAAACCGAGCTACATGCACTGCCATGCGCAATGAAGAGTCAGTCGGATCATTAGTGACACGAGGCTTCATCCGAAACAGATTTTATATTTCCCTAAATGCAGCACTAAACCATTTTTAAAGGATCACAAATTACAATTTTAAAAGTAGGGGATGTACATTTCTTTGAATTGATTTTCTACCTTCCAGAGTGGACCTTGACGGCTTGATATTTATACTCATACTAGCGGTTTCTGGAGTTAAAACATTTATTAATGGCAAGTACTCACAGAAGCAGAGGAAGAGTGTGTCCACACACATGGCATAAACGCTGAAAAACCCATGTGCAATGAGGTAGGAGCCCACCAACACAGTCTGGAGAAAAAGCACAGACATACATATTCAGACAGACAGCTGCAGCTTTTATTTAATTTGTCTATAAATACAGGTAGCACACATGCATACACTACTGTTCAAAAGTTTGGCTTTTATTTGAAAGTGATAGTTTTATTCAGCAAATAATATAAGATTTCTATTCCAAACATATGTTTTTCAAACTTTGTTCAATAAAGAATTCTGAGCAGATGATTTCTGATCATGTGACACTGAAGACTGGAGTAATGATGCTGAAAATTCAGTTTTGATCACAGGAATAAATTACATTATAACATATATTCAAATAGAAAACTGTTCTTTTAAATTGTTAAAATATTTCACAATATTACTGTTTTCACAAGATTTTTTAAACAAATGAATGCAGTCTTGGTGAACATAAGAGACTTCTTTCAAAAACAAAACAAAAATAAAAATCTTGCTGACCCTGAACTCTAATTGCTGTGTCTTTATTTTCCAGCATGGCCATTATTTGGACATTACAATTTAGACAGATGAGTTCATTAAATAGAATATTGTTCATTTACATTTTTATTTTATTTCATTTATAGTCACACTCGATCACTCACCAAAATAGGAACCCAGTAGTAATGGAGACTGGGTGTGGCACCCTTAAACGCATCCGTATGTCCTGAGAAGAAGAAGAAAGCGAAGATCCCTGGGGAAAAAAAGGGGGATTGAGAAAGCCACTTGATGTATTCCATCAAATTGTAGTTCAAGTTTGTCAGTATTTAAATCTAATGATTAGTTCAGTGTTATATAACCGGTCTAAACTAGGAAACTTACCCACAAGCCCCACAATAAGGAGTTTTCCAAGGAATAAGATGAAATCGGTGACCTTATCCAGGACTACCACCCTGTGACGAGTGAAAACATCTGTGAAACATTCGTCAAATTCAGCCAGCCAACACCAGCTTACAAAACCTACCTTACTTCCTGCACCTTGCCTTTTCAACTATTTTTAATTATTGGTCTATGTTCAAATGCATGCACTTCTTTGCTGTTATCAGCATCATGTTTCATTGTTTGTTAGTGCTTCACAACATGAGCGTTGCACTGTCAATTTAAATATGTTAAAATCCTGCACTCAGTTTCAATTCCTTCAACCCTACAGTTTGAAGAGGTCACCCACCTGATTACGTTTCTCATGAGGAGGAAGAAGGCATCACGTGCTGATCTGCAGAAGTTTTTACCGTATATGGCCACCTGTGGCAGAAAAAAAAGCACTTATTCAGCAAAGACTGCATTTAGAGATGCTATTAAGACACACTTGTGTAGGCATCAAGGGGGAAAAAAATGAACAGTTGACAGTTTAGTGAATGGGTGCCGTCAGAATGAGAGTTCAAACAGCTGACAAAAAGATCACAATAATCTACAAGTTATCCAAAAAACTCCTGTCCATCAATTAACATCTTGTGAAGTGAAAAGCTGTGTTTGAAAGAAACAAATCCATAATTAGAATTTATTTTTTTTTTACCTCAAACTGTCGCTTCCAGCTAAAATAGTCCTCTATCTATAAAATTGCTTTCTTCAATAGAAAAAGTCATTTGAATGAGAGAAATATTCACAGATCAAGCACGGTTTACAAGTGTAAACCATTAAAAACAGTTCTAAACAAATATGTGGGTGGATTTGGAGGTGAGAAAACAACAGGTGATGGACTTTTTTTCCGGAGGAAACTTTATTATGGATTAGAAGCTGGAAGCAAAGGTTAAAAGTTAAAAAAGCCTTAATGATGGATTTGATTCTTACAAACACGCAGCTTTTAACTTCACAAGACATGAATTGATGGACTGGAGTGTGGATTATTGTGATGTTTTTATCAGCTGTTTGGACTCTCATTCTGACGGCACCCATTCACTGCAGAGCATCCATTGCTGAGCAAGTGATCAGATGTAATGCTAAAATTTTTAAAAATCCAAAAACACACTCATCTACATCTTGGATGGCCTATGGGTGAGTACATTTTTAGCAAAATTTCATTTTTTGGTGAACTATTCCTTTAAGTTGCAGTGGAAGAACACGGACCATAATGTAGGCGTTCCTGTTCATAAACTTGATGAACTTCTCCAGGCACCAGAAGCAGCATTTCAAACAGCACAACAAGAACTTGGCAAATTTATTCTCTGCTCCTGTGGGACCAAAAGAAAGCAAAAGAGTTCACACACAAAACAGATTATTGTGAACAGTGCAGGATACGGCAATGGATAATGTTCGGCATCACCTCAAAACGGGAAGCTGCAGGGTCTCCAAGCACCCTAAAATTTTTTATTTTGCAACAATGACCAGATGAATGTACATTAACCAGCTCATTACATGACTACTTGTAAATAAATAAAAGGACATGAATAATTTATCTGAGTTGACGTTATTTTATTATGTGAAAAGAAAGAGACTGCAGAGTAATCCGATAGACATGAAACTACCATAGCTCTGTAGGAAAATAGTCAATTACATGCGTCAACAGTCATTATATGCACATATTCCATAACATATTGCAGTGATTAAGCAATTAGATCAATTTTTGATCTGTTAATGTTTTTCTCTTACCCTTGAGTTTGTGGTCAATATACTCCAACAGAACCCTGATAATCTGGACGATGGCGAGGATGAGAGAACCAAATGCCAGAGAGCCTGTGTGATATCTGTGTGTGGACAAAATGCATCAAATATATATATATATATAACTAAATCGTGCTTAGGGCCCAAATGACACACTTTGCTAACATGCATATTGCATACATCTTTTTCTAAAGCCATACCTGAGGGATCTGCCCAGAGAGGCACACAGCGGGTATGCAGGCATGTCACTGGGTTTATTAGGAGCCCAGTAGTAGGATGCAAATGCCCCTGCCAGAGTCATCTGACCCAGAGCAGTGACAAAGTTTGCACACCAGAAGAACAGGAAGATGTTGTAGAATTGAAGGATGATCAGGTATTTGTGATATGGCGTTTCCCCACCATAGAAAGCAAACAGGCACTCAGACCGCGGACAGTCTCTCTTCATAGTAGAAAGAGTGAAGTTCTGGAAATGTGAAACAGGGATCATTCACTTTAGGACTGTACTACATATTCAAAGTAAAAAAAAAATGTAATGTATAAAGTGTATAATACAGTGCAATGTGTGTAATATTTTAACACTATGATTATGCATGAATTAGGGCTGGACAATAATTCAATATCAATATGTATCGCGATATATTTTTTTTTCATGAATATGTATTTATGCACCTCAGGGTCACAGGTTTGTCTTGCATGTGGACAATCGGTTTCGTTGAAAACCTTATAAACAGGTTCACTGGATGTAGAGAGGAAACTGATTAGAGCGATTAAGGACTAGTACTGGTGTGATCTCGTGACAAATATGTTAAACACGTGACTTTTTATAGACAATACTGTGTTTAAAGAAGTGTTTTGGATATTAGATTACCATATACATCTATTAGGGCTGAGTTGCTGGGAACCTTATTGCTATAAAATATCCCTAACATTATCTTCTTAAATAGATAAATATATATCTCCACTGACAGTCATACAAAAGTATCTGTGTATTCAGATTTAATATTTTATTTATCTATTTTTAAATTATGTCATTTAAAATGATATATTTAATTTAATTCAGTTTTAGTAGATGTATTGACTGATGGTCATTCAAAAGTATTTGTGTATTCTTTTTTAATATTTATTTAAATTTGTTTTTTTTATGTAATTTAATTTTGGTCGATGTTTTGACAGTGCCCTGTTCTTTTTCTGGAGGCTCCTTAAATCATGCAATGGACTTACATTTGTTTGTTTTAGTGAGTGACTCAAGAGGTGACCTTTTGCCCATTGACCTTCCATTAGAGTGATTTTAATTAAGATTAAGTGAGTGACTGTAAGATGCAAGTTCCTGTCTAATAGTGTCAACACTGATTAATGTTTCCACTTCAGTTTTGAGTCAAGGATACACTGCAGTGACGCCCCAGTACACAATGACTATGGTCAGGAGGAGGAAGGTAAAAATAGGGTAGAACAGCGAAGACATCACATAACCCACAGCCCTGAAAGAGGACAAAAAAAACAAGACTTAAAGGTAAAACAAGTACCACGTCTTTAAACTTTAATGACAGGCAGAATCCCCGTAACAAGAAGATGTTGATGTGGAAACATCATGTATTTACTACGGTTTCATATGGATTCCCAAAAACACAAACCTGCTGGCCTCCTTCATGAGCTGAACAGCGATCCGGATTCGTTTCCTGAGGAAGATGAGGAGAATGATGATGATGACCTCCAAAATGGCCAAGATGATGACTGCAGAGATGAAAAGGAGTTACTTTCAAATTTAAAACAATCTACTTTACAATCTGCTAAACCTACAGGCCCATAGCAAAACTACTTGACTCTTCTTAGAGGCGTTGTGAGAGAAAGAAAGACTAGCCAAAGCAAAACAGTAATAAACTGACGACTAGATTGTCCATGCAACTTTCTGCTGTGATGCTAAGGGTGTTGTAGGTGGTTTTCAGTGTGTTGCTGTGCATTTGATAGTGTGTTTGAGATGGTTCCTTATTAGCCCTAATTAAAAGACGATTTTATGATAACGGCTTGGGTTCATCCTTCAATTTTGTACTACAGATTACAGGCTATAGTCTAATATTTAAGGTCTTTTTCAAATTCCTAACCCCAAATATGAGCAATAGTAAGAGTGTGGCTACTCACTGAAGGCCAGCCAGGACTGTCTGATGTGCAGGTACAAAGAGAAATCGGGCTGGAAGCCCAGCTGCTGTAGGGTGATATTAGAACCAGGCGTGTCCTTCAGATTGACATACTTTATGCTGCAGTGAGCAATACCTGCGTAAGAAACAGACAAATGATTGACAGTTTAACAATATACTAGACAGGATGAATGTACTAAAGAGTATGAACCATACCATACCACAGGCAACGACAGCGATGACCATGAAGATCATGACCCAGACCATGATTCCAGCCAGATAACGCAGAAGAACGATGAAGATCAGACTCAGCACCACAGCGACCAACAAACAACTGCACGAAGAAACAGATTAACACTCAATCACAGCAGGAAAGACATTAATTGAAATAAAATAACTATGAACTATTATGATATATTACACAAGTAACCACAAAGTAGTAAAATAAACAGAATATAAAACTAGCATAACTAATATAAAAATTATATCATGTTTATATCATATTTCTAATATTCATTTAGTTTAAGCTGAAATACTAAAATTAAAACTGAGAATACCTAAAATAAAATTTAAATAATAATAATAATAATAACTACTAAACAGAAATATATAAAATATATAAAAATAAATGGCAAAAATACACAACAAAATGACTAAAACTTATAAAAAAATAATTAAAATGATTATTTATCTTAAAATAACACTGATCCAAATATTAACACTAATTCTTTTTATTGAAAGATAGTATATTCACTAACATGAATAAAAAATATAAAAAAAAAAAAATTAACTTACATTAGTATCCAGTACCAAGACTTTGTGTAATCCTCAAAGATCTTCATTGCAACTTGACGACCCTCCATGACTATTGTTGCATTCCTTTGATTGTCAAAACAAATATGAATTTATAATAAATAGCCCTTGAATTGCACTGCAATTGCAATTGCAGCAGTGACATATAAATGAGCAATTTCCTTGCAATATGCATGATTGAGTAGTATAAATGTGTTTACTTCATTCCAGCCACCAGATCTTTAGCGTCTCTCATTTTGTCTCCATCATTAAATGTTTCTTGATCGCCCACTGTGATGACATCACCCTTTTTGCCTAGAGATGGAAAACATCGCTGCAAAACTGAGAGAGAGAACAACAGGATTAAGAAACAGAATCATGAAAAATTTGTAATAATTTCCCATACAGTAAATATTGTAATAATAAAAACTAAAGCTTTACATGGTTTGCTGGAAATCAGATATGCAGGGCACAGTTTTTTTTGCAAAATGTCCACCACTGGCTTTAAAGGGAGACAGAATTGATCGGTTATTAGACATTTGCAAAAAAAATTTACTGGATATTTAACCAACAGCTAAAAATGATTTGTTAAAGGGGTCATATGATGAGATTTCAAGTTTTCCTTTCTCTTTGGAGTGTTACAAGCTGATTGTGCATAGATAAGATCCCTGAAGTTGCAAAGACTAAAGTCTCAAAACCAAAGAGATATTCTTTATCAAAGTTAAGACTCTGCCACGCCTACCTAAAACGGCTCGTTCTAACACGCCCCCACATATCTACCTCACTATGTGGTAATTATCTTTAAAAAAGCATCATATGACCCCTTTAAAAACGAACTTACCTTTGTCCCTGGGTCTGCTCTGCAATAGCTTTTGTAATATTCCCAGTCTTGTGTGTTTCCAATGGCGGTTACCAGAGTCAACGTGCGATCAGGGCATTTCTCTACACACACCTACACACAGAAAGAAAACAAACTTCAGGATATGACATGTTTGACTCTCAAAAACAAAACAAAAACAGTCTATAACATAACCTTAGTTTTGCATGCACTTATTTACTAAAACATGAAAAATCAATGCTAAAAGACAGTAAAACTTGATACTGCACATACAGTGCCTATTATTTTAAAATGGTATGTGAAGCAGTCATTATCATCATTCATTTGACAAATGATGTCCATTTATCACCAAGAAAAGAGTTACTTTCTTATTTTTAATCCAGTGTTGTATAAAAATGTCGGAATCAACATATAAATACATAAACAATATTGCTTGCCTTATTTCTAAATAGCTTTGAAAAAGTGTCTGCTAAACAAATTATGTAAATAAATGCAAATGCAAATTAAAGATAAGTTGAGTGCATTGCATTGTGGGATACAGTATTCCCCACAGTGCACTCTGGTTGTGTACTGCACATGCAATCACATAATAGAAGTGAAAATTCACATACTATGAATGAACGGAGTTCTGCTATAATGTATGAGCAGTATACAGTAGTAGCATGCCAATCCAAAAACAGAGTTGCCACAGACAGAAACGGGTGGACAGGACACAAACCTGAGGCGTGGGACACTGGAACTCGAGGAGGACCATGGGACTGGCACACTTCATCATGTTAAAGTAGAACAACAAGGGCTGCTTCCTGTTACACACATCACAAAAACACATTCTCAGTTCATTGAGGCTTACACTGATTAATTTCAATGAAAATATTCATACATTCCTAGTCCTTGCAACATTTGATATCTCATTTCACTCAAAAAGACATATCATGCCATATCATAAGGTTGCACTACAAATAATCCTTATCTGTCATTTTTACATTTCATTTTTCAAATGGCAGGAGAATAACATAATACTTGATATTTTAATTAACATGGTATAAAGAATATTCCGTTTGGAAAAAAGACATACAGTGTGCATTTGTGGTCTGCTCGATTTTACTTACTATACATATCCTGTGAATAATTCACTGGAATGCACTAAGAATCTCTTCTTTTTCTCCCCAAATCCTCACATCTCTATCCAGGTTTGTTTTCACAGGGACGCTTTAAATGTAACTGTCTTTCATTTTCACATCTGTTCCCTATTAACAGTGTTTACTGGAATGTTTCTAAAGCAGGTAAACACAATATTTCTTATCCGTCAAAATGACAGAAATGACATTGAAATATCATCACTCATTGTTCTAGTTAATGAGCATTTTTGATTAGGGCAACGCATGTTACATAACACAGACATATATTACTACAGTGATATTTAGCACGTGCATAATATTGTTGCAGCAATATTTTGCAGTTCTTCATGGTCTATTTAAAGTAACTTGTTTATATTTTCACATTTGAAGGTTAAGGTCACCTCATTGTGCTAGTTTTTTGAAAATGCTTATTATTGCATTCACAGAGTGAACCTTTCACTGATTATTTACAGTTTAACAGTAGTTACTCCCATAATTCATGCAAAGCATCATGGGGCATATGAAAAAGGTGGTTACTTACAGTTTTACTCTTAAAGTTCTCCTTTACAGTCAAGATTTACAAATGATTTGACTGAATCTTTAAAAAGAACTGGAGCAACAAATAATAATCTTAAATTTGGTGTAACCTACTCCAGTTTTCCCTGGCCACAGTACTGTCCTAGGCTGTCTGTGGGGTAGATCACCTTCCTCGGGTCACCGTGAGTCCAGGCTGACAGATGCAAACAGAAATAATGAGTATTTCATTCACACAGAGCAGGAATTCTCAAACCTTTTAACAGACTTTAATGGGCTTTTTATGTAGCTATTACATTTCCAAAACCACGTCATTAGAGGATGAGAGATTTTAAATGTGTTCTATTTAATAAGTGCAATTTATTTCTGTGAACTGATCAAACTATCCATTTAAATTAATAGATTCAATATTCTCATTCAATGATTCATACTCAAAAATGTTTGTGGATGTCCCTGTGGAGCATTTTTCATAAATGTTCTTTAGCACATATACATGTAGGTAAATTTTGCTGTGTTCATTTAGTGAAAAACAGTGTGGAAACATGAAACATGTCTTCTTTTTATTTGATCTTTAGTGTGTTTTAGTGGTTACATTCAGCATTGTGAAAACATTCAGTTCTTTAGTTTAAATGGCGGTTCCTCTGAAAAAAAAATCACTTTTTAAAGTCACTTCAGAGCAAATACAGATTATTAAATATTTTGAATATCAGCAAAATACTGAAATAAATACATATTTTTTAAGCTATATCGCCCAACACTAACAAACACACACTCATTACGAACAAATCAATAAACAACACTACCACCACTGTTGCCAGATTGGGCGGTTTTGAATTTGATTGTGCGGATAAAATTTGGCTTGGGCGGGTGGACAAAATTTGAGCTGGTTTGGGGTCAGTTTGGCGGTTTTCAAACATATAAATTGCATAGGCTAATTGTTTAACAAACAAGCC